TCTAAATACCAAAGTATGAAATCCACAATAAAAGTAATTGATTAGTATAATAATTTGATGGAAATTAAAGCTTTAAATAAAGTTAGTAAGAAGCATGTGACTTCATAAAAGATTCCTTGGTGGTAACAATATGTATCTATCAAATGAATCGATTGTTGGCTAGCTATATTTGATAAGATACTAAATCACATGGAAAGTCTAGATATATGACGTGACTTCACAATGAAATTATCAAAGGTGAAATAATTTTCGTAGAGAATTTAGCCAATCTTTTAACTAGACTATTAAAAGGAAATTTAGTGGTATCTAGTTTGAATAGGATGAGGTTGAAACTCCTAAACTAAAAGGTCCACCAATGATGGCAACCCTACCTGTCATTACTCAAAAGGTAATCTACGGGTTCAAAGGGTAAAAACAAGTCATTCGATATATGGATAGTTGCAGTATTATTTTAATCCGTGATAACCCTATCCTAATTAAAATAATGCTGGTTGTTACTGAAGTGAGGGCGGAGTATTAAAACTCTTAATGAAGTTCAGTGCTAAAACACAAGTACCTCTAAAAGTAACAAAAGTGCTGGAAGAACTTCACCTAAACAAATTTCAAGGTGGTGCCGCCTCAATTGAGAGTTGGAGTTTCTCTCTTAAAAGTTTGTCGAATAGGATGAGCGCAAGGCCATAATAGCGACGCGAGTTGAGGAATTTAAGAACATGTGATACTTATGTGTGTGTTCTTACCGTATAGTCACAAGGAATAATTGGTTCAAAGCTTTCATGCTACCTCTAATTCCGACTTTACTTTGTTTGAATTACATTATGGTTAAATTCAAATCGAAAAATATCTAATCCTTATGCATAAGTATCGTCATTTTGAATATGTGATCGTATTGATTTTGAACAAGTAATGGATTGTTGAATATTTGTTCAAAATCAATGGAATAATAATGGGCTAATTGGTGAGCTCAATTGTGGAATTAGTAGAATTAAAAGAAATTGAAAAATGAAAATTTTGGTTTTTAGCCTATGTGTACGCACATGCTTAAATTTGTGTGTACACGATATGTGTTTTGGCTAAAACAGAATCAAATTTGCTTCTACTATGCGTACGCAAGGTTTATACCATGTGTACGCATAGTGTTAAAAATAGCCGTTGACTGATTTTTCAATTTGAAACTTGGGGCCGTTTTGGATTAAAAGTTGCCATTTTTCATCTTGTTTTGGTACCATTTCGTGATGTATTGATTGAGGCCTATAAATAGGTGATGAATGATCGATCAATAAAAACACATTAGAAACATTAAAAAACATCTTGAGATCCACGTATCATTTCACATTAAATCAAACTATTGATTTGTATTCATATTCGATATCTTCCTTTGTGTTTTTAAAGTTTCGGAGGATTGCACTTATGCTTTAGTGTTAAATCCTTTACAAAGCTTGTTATAATCCTACAAACTGTTTGCCAAAACCCTTAAGCATTTCGTTCAATCTCGAGAGGGGGCAAATATAGTTTGAGGACAGGGACTACGTGTTTGAGCCTTCATATTCTTTATGTTCTTCATCTTTTTGATTACATTTCTGATTGTTTGTTTCTTTTTCATTTTTCCCAGTTGATGTAAATTTTCCAACAGAAATTGTAGGTGACAGACCGCCATGAACACAAAATACCTTGTTTTCTATTAGCGCTGATGGGCTGCAAAAGATTGTCAGCAAGACACAAATGTTATGAAAGCTATAAGTTTCAAGCAGGCCACTCCATCGACATGCAATGCAAGTAAAATGTGCAACTGCGGTCATATACATAGTGGAAAAAGAAAGCATATACAGAACATCAGCATAAAAAGTATAGAGCTTGTGAAGGAAAAATCCCAGCCAAATATTTATAAAAGCAACTAGAAAGTTTGGCTTTATGTATGACTGCAAGTTATAAATTTCCTACAGTCTAGCTACATGAAAATTTATTCACCCTTCCAAGTTTGCACATACATCTAGAAAAGGCAAACCTTAAGTAGTCGAAAATGTTTGTGCAATATCTCCACACATTCACGGAACCATACTTGCGTAAACACTCATCGTAAAATCCATACACCTGGAAGCAGAGGAAACCAATGAATTCTCATGGAACATAACAGCTCAAAGCTGATAAATAACATAGACTCAACCTGTGTGATCTGTCGGCTCTCACAGTTCCCTCAGACGAGAGTAATTCGATCAGGGTATCTCACCTGAAAATTCACTCTCTCTAGGCTAATTTGAACAATATACAATTTAGAAATTTAAGGAAAACTAATATATTAGAAACTGGGATGTGGTTGCAATTGAGCAGTGCATTGACCGCAGCCAATGGGCATCCCCAAAAGGCTGGACCATCTATATCATTGTAAAAAATACCGGGCTAGATCATCTACGCCCCGTTGAATTATTTTTATTATTGATTGATCTTATAAGCCTTGTTGAATTACCTAAATGATATATCATTTAGGTAATTAGATGATTATTATGTTTTCGGGAGATTCATGATTAAGTTTAGAACTTGAAATTCCAACATACAGACAATAGATGTTGTCATGTGCAATCATGTGGATAATCGTGAGATCTAATGCATTATTTTGCATATGATTTCAGAATAGGAATACAATGAGATCATGCTTATAATATGTTTAACTTACCTCGGAATATATAGTCCAATAAAATTGGATTATCAATCTTGCCAAAACTACACAAATCACACTAGGCTTGTTTAGTATAGATTTTAAGTCAATTAAAATCAATTTTTTGACCGTTATTTCACTATTTCAGACGTCATTTTTGAATTCTTCTCTTATATGTAGGACATGCTTTATCTTTAACGGTTAAAAATTTAATTATAAAAATCCCTACCAAACAAGTACAATTACATAGGTCAAAATTTGAGAATATTATAATAGTCGGTGAATTCGAAATTTCAACACATATATCTCATATTTAATTGATACTTTAGATAATTAGCAAGATAATTTAGATACAAGCAAATAAATATCTTATGTGTTATGTTACATTTGAATCTGATAACGGGTTAATGTTATTCAATTTAAGATTTATTCTTCGTGGGAAGAGGCTTTTCTCAATGCTTTATTACTTGTCAACAATTCAATACGCTCGCAAGTATTCACTGAACACTGTAGTTTTGAATTTTTAGCACTGAAAGTGTTGTTCCAAATCCTAAACTTATTTAAACATTTGAATCAAGGGTCTCGCATGATGGGAACTATCAATGTAGATGTCAAGATCTAAATAGCTTTCACTTAAACATGAAGGCAAATTTATCAAATCACTTGACATCTAAAGTTAAATTATGCGAAATATATGTGCAATTTTAGTGTTCACATTTATATTTTTCTCGCACCTAGAGAACAATAATCCAAAAATTTAAATAGGATGACAGTCCAAAACCTTACACTTGAAATTTTGGGATTTAAAAAAAAAAAAAATACTATGTGTACACAATGTATTACACCCCTCTCACATGCAAGGAGTCCATGAGTCCATGTGATCATCCATGTGAGAGGTGTGTAATGCTATGTATACACCATTGTGTACACATAACATTTTCCAAAAGATAAAAAGCATTCCTTCAATTGCAAAATACCGCCTACTAACCATCTCTCTCCCCAAGCCCAAGCCACCTCACCCCAATCTCTCTTCTACGATCTCCGCCCCCCATTCGGCACCAAATAATCCATTACCCAAACCCGATGCAGTTCACCATCCAAACTCCATGTCGTCGCATTGGCAACCGCATGGTTGCAATCCATCTTACCCATTTCTGTCATCACATTCTTCACTCCAATTCGACACCAACGCAATCCACCGCCCAAAATGGATAGTAGTTCACCGCCCAAACCCCATGCCAGCCGCTAATCACTACAAACCACCAACATGCACCCAACACCCCAGATTTACACAATTTTTTAATTATTATTCAGAGTTTTATTTCACCAAAATGGATGCTATGAGCCGTGGTTGTGGCGGTTGATGGTATGAAATTGTTAGTGGTGATGGTTATATTTGTGGTGATTTAGGGTGGATGGTGGTGCATATGGAGAAATTGTCACAAAACGACCGACTCAAAAAAAAAAAAAGTTGGTTCAATTTGTAGGATAAATATGTTCTCGTGTCGAATTAGACTTGAACCCAACTCAAAAACTTAGCAAGGTGGTTGAGTTGGATCTCGAGTTGATTTGATCCGACCCGCCTACCATGAACCATTGATGGAGCCTAGTCGGTGATTAATTTTTGGAGACAACCATGTTTTGCACTTCTAAAACCAAGAAAATCTAAATTGTACTTGACCTTTTTCCTTTTAGGGGGGAATTTGTTGTAGGTCCTCAATAGCATGTTCCGACTCATTCTTCAACAGGCACACGATCAGAAACCTAACTCCTCCCATTGCCTAGGAGCTTATGATTTTATATTCTATTTCACTCCCCTGATCGAAGTTCTTTTCAATCATTAATCTTTCAAAACGAGCAAGTTGGTTCCTAATATAAAATCATTGGTCAATCTCCAACAGACTCACATAATTTACAGAATGTACTTTAATCAATTAAATATGAGATGATCACTTGATGATTTAACATAGATTTAGACAATTTCCATTATAGGAGAGTAGGACTAAGCGTGTAATAATAATGGAAAGTCAGGTTAACTTGCAAAACTTTAAAGTGAGGGACCAAATTGCACCAAAATAACAGATTGAGTGCCATTACCGCAAGTTTTCAATTTTCACTACTTTTTATTTTGCTAACAAGCTGTCCAACATTTGGGTATATTTAATTACATTTATTTTTCATGAAAAATATCAGTTTTTCACCCAAATTTCTATTTGAAGTGTTTGATTGCTATTTTTTTCCATGAAAAACATTTTTCAACTATTAAAAATATACCTAATTTTTCTTATTTTTAAGAAAAACATTTTCCTAGTTGATTTTTATTTTTCACACAAAAATGAGAAACATTTTCTTTTCTAAGTCACATGTCAATCAAAGACTCTTAATTATAATCATTTGCTGTGGTGAAGACGACGATTACGTCGGACAAAATTTGCCGGTAATCGGTGGCGCCGCCTGTCACTCCCATTTCAAATCGTTCTTAATTATTGTAAATTCACCAATTATTCGTCCCATCATTAACTACGATTCCACAATTTAGATCGCCGCTCCCGATTCCAATCAAAAGGTAAACTCTTCCGCCTTTTTAATCTTCATTACCAGCGCAACTTTTTCAATTTTATGTAATATAATTCGATAATTGATTTGACGGAGTTTGCTCTTTTTTAAGCCCTAATTAAATTGCGGCGTTTGAATACCTGATCGCTTGTATTTCCGCCGCGTTTCTTGTGATGCTAACTCAAGTTTGACCTTTTTGCATATGCTTGCTTTGTGAGTTTATGAATTACTGATTGGGCTGTGTGATTCTGTTAGAATTTCATTTACTGCATTTCCTTTTTTGATCGTTTGAAAAGTTGTTAATCTCTTGCTGCTTATTATGGCTTATATTAATTATAATTGGTGTGTGATCAATTAATGACGTGTGTTTGATTATCTTTTTTAACTGAATGAAGACCTTAATAGTACTATGAGAATAAGAATTTTTGTTTATTGCTTTGCATACAATTTATAATTGGGGAAGTCACGCGTAGAGAGAACGTGGGCATTGATTTCATCTCGTGATGCGAAATTCCTGATTTTCTTTTTTCTTTTTCTTTTTCTGAACTTTGATGCTCTCCTTTCACAGTTGTTTACCAGAATTTAAGACTTATTTCTGTATAGCTCATAGCATGAATTGGTTCCTACCTAATTCATGATAGATTATCGATTGATTATTTTTCTTTTAGTTTCCCTTCTTGATTGGGACATATTAATTACTTAGTAAAGGTGGTCATTAGTAAAAAACTATTTTGTCTTAATTACAGACAATGGCAGCTTCAGGGGATTCATGGGTAAGGGAGTACAATGAAGCAGTAAAACTTGCTGACGACATCACTAACATGATATCAGAAAGGAGTTCCTTGCCCACGACTGGTCCAGAAGCACAGAGACACTCATCTGCCATTCGTAGGAAAGTTACCATACTTGGAACGAGGTTGGATAGCCTACAGTCTCTTCTGTCAAAGCTTCCTGGAAAGCAACCTCTGTAAGTTGGCTTAATCGAACAGCCGTCTAGCTACTTTGTTATTGTGGAATAATCTAAGATGTCTGTTGTAAGTAGCTGAGTCGCCCAAGTATAATTTGTGGTTTTCACTGTACTTTGCTTCTCTCAACTCGCATGCTCTCTTAAATTTAGAGATAAAATACAGTGTATATATATCCCCTCTTCAATTTTGTTTGAGATGCTTTAATTCCAAATTTCCTGGCATGCCTATTAGAAACAAGTTAGCATCTCCGAAAATATGATTGTTTCCTTAAAAAAATAAAAATAACAAAATACACTACTATGCTCTCGTTCTTTTATTTTATATCTAACTTTCGAGTAAAGTACTTGACATAACGATTTTTATCTGCAAGTTAATAATGTATGTTATTGCATTAAAAAAAATAATAATAATAATAATGTAAAATATAAAATATAAAACTTGAAAGGAAGAAGAAAGAAACTGCAGCATGCCACTATGCCAGCATCCAACACCCTCACTTAATTGATAGAAAACAGGATGGACCTAACACTTGGTTCTATATTTTCATTAAATTTCTCATCTTTTTCTCTGGTGGTGATCTTTTTATGGTTCTTGAACCTGCTCATACTTATATGCAGGACAGAGAAAGAAATGAATCGGCGCAAGGATATGGTTGCAAATTTAAGGTCAAAAGTAAACCAGATGGCTTCCACATTGAACATGTCAAACTTTGCAATTAGGGACAGCTTACTCGGGCCAGAAATTAAGCCGGCTGATGCAATGAGCAGAACAACCGGGCTTGACAACTATGGCGTTGTTGGTCTTCAACGACAAATCATGAAAGGCTAGTGGCTATAATTTTTTTCTTAATCTTTGTTTTTTTCTTTATCTTTCTTAATATAGGATGGATTTCTGGTTTGCATCTTTGTGCAGAACAAGACGAGGGTCTTGAGAAATTGGAGGAGACAGTTATAAGCACTAAACATATAGCGTTGGCAGTCAACGAGGAGCTTGATCTGCATACAAGACTAATTGTGAGTGTACTTGTATTATTACATACCTGCTTTTGTTCTCGACTTCTGGCATGAAAACTAGTCCTCCATAATTCGCATATAGCGATGAACTATTTTCTTGAAGTTCATTTCTGTTTGATGTCATCTTGTGCAGGATAATCTGGACCAACATGTTGATGTCACAGACTCCCGACTGCAGGTGACACTTCGTCTAGTAAAATTTATTTGAATTGTAATAATACCTCCTCGGGCTAGTGAATAGTTTTCTGGCAATATCTTTTATAGCATGTGGTGATTGAAGGTGAATGTTTTCGAGCATTGTGATCCTCTTGGTAGTGACACTAATGGATAGACTCATCATCATGGCTGGGGTATGCTAGACTTCTTTATATTTCACATAACACATTAAACAAAGCTAAGCCTGAAAAGTATAATTTTACAATTATGCTTGGATAACTTTTCTTTCTACTTTTAACTTTTTAAAAAATGATATTTACTTTGAAAGTAACTCCTACATTATCAGTAGAAATTTTTTTTATTCGTAACTTACTTATTTACTTAGAAGTTAACTTTTTAAGCTTAGCCAAACATGCTCTGTCAAACAAGAGTTAAGAGTGGGTGTGGGTGTGGGTGTGGGTGTGGGTGTGGGTGTGGGAGAACCTGTTTCTAGGAGATTTCTGTGATTTAGGTGAAAGACATTGTCATGCCTATGCATTATGTATTGCTTACTTTAACTTTTCATAACATATTATTAATGTAAATCGTGTTAGCTCAGGGAATTTTAGCGACTTGATTAGTATTTATTTACTAATTTGCTCTTGATCTGAACAATTTTATTATGTGCTATTCCACTTACTTTATTTTGTCTTTTTTCCCCCTAATGAAAACAGCGAGTGCAGAAGAGGCTTGCGATATTGAATAAACGCACAAAGAGTGGATGTTCATGCTTGTGCCTGCTTTTATCTGTAATTGGAATTGTTGTTTTGGTTGCCGCTATATATCTGCTGATCAAATATTTGTAATATAGAGAAGAATGGAATTGAAACTTTCTGCTGTCCTCGTGTGTCCCGGATTAAAATTTAACATTGATGTTAGAAAAAAAGGGGAGAAAGAGAGACGGGATTGGAATGCTGTGTGTGATTTGTAAAATCGCTTGGATTTTCGTTGCCTCTGTTTGGATTCCTTGTTTTTGAGATTGATATGATTTGTTTGGATAAATTTTCATTTGAGCTTTATAAGATATCATCAAGTTAATCAACCTATTCATTAGATTAATGTGGTTCTGATGTATACATCATTTAGCAACACACAGGTATAAAAAATCTTGGGCTTGTTTGGCGAGATTTTACTTTTGCTTCTTGTAAAAAAAAGCCTCTTGAAGAAGTTTAACTTATTAGATTAACTTCCTTTAAAAGTTCTCATGCACTTTCAGAAAATTATTCATACTCAAAAGCATTTTATTAGTTTTAAAGCAATCTCTGATTTTTCAAAAGCTTGGACGAACAACCATTAGTATACCCTATCCCTTTTTAAAAAATAAAATTGACTTTTTAGGCTGAAGAACCTTTAATGTGATTATGATGTATATTTAATTTTAGCAACGGGTTTCCAAAGAACTTATTTTTCCGTTTCTTCGGACGCCACACGCTTTAGTTCTATTCATCCCATTTTTAATTAAAGAATTATCATGGGTATTAGAAACTGAAAGGTACAGGATACGATACGGATGATATTACAGAAATCAATCAAGGATCATGAAATGCAGCTTCACCGCTTACTAACAGATAAAAAGGAAATTAAACAAATAAGATGGAAAAACAAAAAGTGAAGGAGAGTAAAGAAAGCCTAAAAAAGGAGCTTTCGAGGGGCGCTGGAATTTGATGCTGACGACTAGAGGGAGACAGGAGATTTTGTGCTTTCATGGTTCCCTCCAGCTTTATCGACTAGCTTTGCTCGTCTAGGGTCGGAAAGGACTGTCTTCTGAAATGATTGTGTAAAACCAGTTGTAATGATGGTCACATGTTTGCAGAAGGATCTGCCAAACTGGTAACAACCTGGAAACCATATAAACAATTTAAGCCCTTGATTGATTTTCATTTTGGAGGAAATAATGTATTTTGAATGATAGATTGATAGAGAATGTGTGGTTAAAAATTAAACAAAAATTTTGGATTTACGTGTAATATTATTTTATTTGAAGAATGTAAAGTTAAAAACAAGTTTTGAAAAAAATGAATTTTTAGAAGAATGAAAATCAAACAAGGGCTAAAATACGAAACACTATATCCCGATGCTCACAATCACAAAACCGAGGATTCATATACATTCAATTGTAGCGTACTATGCAAAATCCAAATTTTCAATTTAACTGTTTTGAGGAAGATCCCATGGACCTCCTACGAAAGAGAAAAGCTCCACATAGGATTGGATAAAACTCTCGAACCGAATCGATCGAGTTGTTCTTCTTAAATTAAATACCCGAATAGGTATCTAAATCGAAAATCAACGGGTTTGATTCGGTCCTCGGTTCTTGATTAAGAATCGAATAAGAATTGATTTTTCCTAATTTTTCTAATTAATTTATTTTAAATAAGTTAAATTATTTTATTTTTCTAAATAAATTTGCCAACTAGTTAATTTAGTTCAAATCCAAAAATATGATTATCCTATTTCTAATTTTCAGTTCAAAGCCAACTTAATTAAATTGATCTAAGTTTTATTTAAATATGTTACTCTACTGTAGTGCCATTTTGAAGAAATCGAATTGAAACTCGACAACGCCTCTCTTAATTATTGTGAGCTAAATCTTCATCTTCCTGTAATTTTACCAATTAAATTTATGAAGAACTTAACAAAAAGAGATGCAAAAGGCACATACAATTGGACTGTTATTTTGAAAGAACAAATATTGAAAATATCATTAGTTGAATTAACGGAGTTTTTGTAAACATTAAACTTCTTGCAGAGTGATATCCTTCAGTAAAATTACTTCAACTAATGTGGAGATAGGGCTGGATGTGGTCCGAATCAGAATCGAAATTTTCAAGTATTTAATAAGGGAATCGTCGAGTCCAAATTTAATTATGAAACCATTCGGGTTCGATTCCATTTGTTAAGTTCAATTTGGTTCCGTTCGGTTTCATTCGGTTCCCAGGTTTCATATTATAATTAAATTTTTTAATGTTTACAAAAACTCCGTTAATTCAACTAATGATATTTTCAATATTTGTTCTTTCAAAATAACAGTCCAATTGTATGTGCCTTTTGCATCTCTTTTTGTTAAGTTCTTCATAAATTTAATTGGTAAAATTACAGGAAGATGAAGATTTAGCTCACAATAATTAAGAGAGGCGTTGTCGAGTTTCAATTCGATTTCTTCAAAATGGCACTACAGTAGAGTAACATATTTAAATAAAACTTAGATCAATTTAATTAAGTTGGCTTTGAACTGAAAATTAGAAATAGGATAATCATATTTTTGGATTTGAACTAAATTAACTAGTTGGCAAATTTATTTAGAAAAATAAAATAATTTAACTTATTTAAAATAAATTAATTAGAAAAATTAGGAAAAATCAATTCTTATTCGATTCTTAATCAAGAACCGAGGACCGAATCAAACCCGTTGATTTTCGATTTAGATACCTATTCGGGTATTTAATTTAAGAAGAACAACTCGATCGATTCGGTTCGAGAGTTTTATCCAATCCTATGTGGAGCTTTTCTCTTTCGTAGGAGGTCCATGGGATCTTCCTCAAAACAGTTAAATTGAAAATTTGGATTTTGCATAGTACGCTACAATTGAATGTATATGAATCCTCGGTTTTGTGATTGTGAGCATCGGGATATAGTGTTTCGTATTTTAGCCCTTGTTTGATTTTCATTCTTCTAAAAATTCATTTTTTTCAAAACTTGTTTTTAACTTTACATTCTTCAAATAAAATAATATTACACGTAAATCCAAAATTTTTGTTTAATTTTTAACCACACATTCTCTATCAATCTATCATTCAAAATACATTATTTCCTCCAAAATGAAAATCAATCAAGGGCTTAAATTGTTTATATGGTTTCCAGGTTGTTACCAGTTTGGCAGATCCTTCTGCAAACATGTGACCATCATTACAACTGGTTTTACACAATCATTTCAGAAGACAGTCCTTTCCGACCCTAGACGAGCAAAGCTAGTCGATAAAGCTGGAGGGAACCATGAAAGCACAAAATCTCCTGTCTCCCTCTAGTCGTCAGCATCAAATTCCAGCGCCCCTCGAAAGCTCCTTTTTTAGGCTTTCTTTACTCTCCTTCACTTTTTGTTTTTCCATCTTATTTGTTTAATTTCCTTTTTTATCTGTTAGTAAGCGGTAATTAAATACCCTATTCACTTCTTGCAGAGTGATATCCTTCAGTAAAATTATATACAACTCCAGTAGCAGATTGAATGAGCCAATTAAAGGAGCCAAAGTTGCCTATTCCGCTGCTTCTTCAGCACGGTTCTTGCTGGAGAATCCTTCATCACTGCCTTAACATCTGCAAAATCTACATTTACCAGCCCAGGTATCTGCGAAACAAGAAAAAGAAAAAGCTCAAATTGTCTGTTGGTTTGTCTCTGACAGAGCATGTTTGGCTAAGCTTAAAGTTACTTGAGGATTGAATAACTAACTTTTAACTTTGCAAGTAAAAAAATTGGGTATGAATTAAGCAACTTTTTTATTTCCAACTTTAACCGATAAATAAATTTATTTTAAAACTTACTTTTTTCAGAGAAACATATTAAACTGTACTTATGTACTGATAAGTAAACTTTTCAAGCTTTGCCATACATCCTCATAAACTTGCGATGGAAGGTCTCTCAACAAAATGTGGCCTAAGGAAACTTTTGGAAATATTTGATTCGCCTGAAAAATGCGGCAGTCTGCATTTAGGCAGCAGGAAACAGCAAGCAGTATTGATACTCAAAACTGTTACAGATTTTAACTGCAGTAAACATTTCCAATTTCCAACATTCATTATTAGATTATTTTGGCATGAAAAGCGGAAAAATTAACACATTTTAGCATGATGCACAGCGTTGGTAAATATCAAAATGTTGTCATGGAGCTAAAAAGCAACTGATGGTGGTCAAGATTCAATAGCTCATAAAAGCATCCTGCAGGGGAGGCTGTTCGTCAGCAATATCCAGCAGACGATCAATTGGAATCACGATCAGTGAATCCACATCTTTCTGGAGTTTTTCAATAGCTTCCAGAGCTTGATGACAGGAAAAATGAAATTAAAAGTTTTGAATGACAACATTTTATGGTGAACTTGAAGCCCAGGAATTTGGCATCGCATCAAGAATCAGTTATTCATTGAAACAAAAAATTAACAGATTGGGTTAGAAGAAAAAGATGAATGGAATTTAATTTATGAAGGATCAAACCAATGCATTCGGTATTTCACTTGTGTATTTCGAGAAGGGAAGGATGACCTATTTAAACAATTCATTGAAACTAATCTATACAGGTGTCAGGGAGAATTTGTTACAAATTTACAGTACAACAGAATTCTGCTTCATTTGAGCATGTGCGTGAGCTGTTTCCTCATGCTTCTAGGACCTTCTTGGTTGTACAATTATTTGATATTTAACAGCCCCCCTCAAGATGGAGAGTGGATGTTTTCCGCTCCCATCTTGGACAGATGAAAATAGAAGGCGTCAAGGGAGAGGTTTTGTAAGAATATCAGCAATTTGAAGACCAGTTTTAACATGCCTTGTAATGATACTTCCCTCCTGAATTTTGTCACGCGCAAGATGGCAATCCAATTCAATATGCTTCATCCTTTCATGAAACACTGGGTTAATAGCTATGTGCAAGGCTACTTGATTATCGCAAAATAATTCAGCCGGCTATGAGTGAGAAACCCGCAGATCATCAAGGATATACTTAAGCCACGTTAGTTCACAACATACAGCTGCTATGGCCCTATATTCTGCTTCGCCTGAGGATCTAGAAACAGTGTTCTGCTTCTTTGATCTCCAAGACACTAACGAGGAAGCAATAAATACACAATAACCCATGATCGATCTTCAAGAATCTGAACATGCCCCCCAATCTTGTCCTGGAGCTCTCTTGATGTATCTAAGGACCTTATGTGCAGCATTGAGATGTGGTACTCTAGGATTCTGCATATACTGACTTAATAAATGTACTGAATAGGATAAGTCAGGTCTAGTGATTGTCAAGTAAAGTAACCTCCCAACCAACCTTCTGTACTGAGTAG